TCCTTTCCAGGCTGCTTTAAGATTACCATGCAGAAACACATCCTCAATCTTATTTTTATAATTATTTTTAGCAGTTTTTATTGCCCTTTTAACGTCCCTGTCTATCTGTTTTTTCTCCTCATTAGTTCCTGAGAGAAATACTCTCTTCTTCATATTCAGTATACCTTTTAACTCCTTCGTAACCCGAGGTTTATTATTGGGATACAAGGTGATCTTTTTTGTAGGTATGACAGAATCAACACAAAAAGTAATATAGTTAGAAACGGTGTGCACCTGTTCATTAAGATCAGAGCATGTGTTCAAAAACATATTCCAATCTGTGCAATCGAAACAACCCTTTAAAACTTCAATATTAGAAGGAGTCCATTCTCGAACAAATCATACTTCTCTCTTCGCTTGCTTAACAATAGGAACATACAGAGAAGACAACATGATTATATTATGATCAGATGAACCAAGGGGTGGTAGTGACAGAGACCTATAAGCTCCCGGAATCGGGCCATAACATCTATCCAAAACTTTATCAGCACGGGTAGCACATGTAACATATTGATAATATCATAATACAATGATTAAAATCACCTAAAATAAATTTCGGTGCATCTGGGGATATATTATCCAGTTTATCCAGGACATTTTTGACAGTTTCAAATGCCATATCAGTCTTGGCACGTGGATGAATATATACTACTACAAAAAACAGCTGAGGGAATTCACGAGGAAGATAGAAAGGGCGTACCGAAACTGATTATGTTTGATTTTTAATATCAAACATAATTTTTATTAGCTTACATTCATTTATTCAGTTTAATTACAGACACAGCATGGTTAACACAAACCTAAATTGACTAAAAAACATTAACTAACAGTTTTCAAATTAAGAACCATAATAATTTGAGGGAAGTGTTACCTTAAATGTCTCAGTATAATATCTGTGGGACAGAGTTCTGATGTAATATCTTCTTGCACAGACTCAACTTTTGGGTGTGGACCTCTTGGTAGAACTTTCCAATATCACAATATCACATGAAACACTCTGTTCCAAGCAAAGGAAAAACAAATAATTAGTGAGTTTATTTGACTTCATATTGACTAAATTATTATTGTTATCTGTTTAATCACCCTTAACCTTAGACCACCAAAAGAATAGATACAGATTTCAGGGGAAAAAATGAAAGATAAACATGAAGTGAAGCAAAGGCACACTGTGTTCTTTGTCTGTTTTCCCTGTAGGCAAATTGTGCCCTTCAAAGCCGAAGGTAAAGAATTCAGGGCTGCGTTTCTCAAAATCATTGTGAGATAAGTTGTTTGTATAGAGACCATCGGTGGCAATGGATCTACGATCTATTTAGGCTTAATGCTTTTGGGAAATGCAGCCCAGGTCTGTAAATAAGAAATCTATGTGCATCTCCAAGTTTTCTTTTTATTTCTGTGTAGAAATAATACATTTAAAAGAATAGTTCACTCAAAAATTAGCTGAAAATGTACTCACCCTCAGACCATCTAAGTAGGTGTAGGTGAGTTTATTCATCAGAAATGAAATTGTCAACAAAGGTTCTACAAGGAAGACTCTAATGCCAGGTCATTCATGCATAACTATTAAGCTCTGGCCAATCACAGCTTGACACTAGGATAATATAAGTAGGCTACTGAACTTTCTCTTTTTTTTTTTTACAATTGCACTTTTGCAATTCCATTTGGTGCCACTGGAGGGACAGTAATTACACACTGTGCCTCAGTTTAAGTAAAAAAAAAAAAAAATGTAAAGATAATTTTTAAGAATTATATAATTAATATATAGGATAGTTAGACTAGATAATAAGACTAGGATCTTTTCATTCAGACATGTATCTCGACATTCTCATTTGTTTAATGATTGGTGATTTGAGATTAATGTTTTTTTTTTTTTTAATTGTTATTTTGTTTTACCCTGTTCAGATCAGGATAAAGTGGCATGATAAAGCTTCTAAATACAGGACACAACCATTTTTTAAAGCTTTTGGATCACGTGTTTTGAAGATATTGTGAATCATTAGTGGGCCGAATCTGGCCCCTGTGGTTCCTCCCGCTCACCACCAGAGGGCTCCCTCACATGAGTTTTGACTATGTGTTCACAGACTCCATTTCCCATAACCCCGTACCTGGTAGTGATCCCTTCCATACCTGGGCCCCAATTCACAAAACCTTTTATCTTAACTCTAAGAGTTCTCCTAAATAGCAGTAAAAGTTCTTAGCTAAGAGTTTTCTCTTAAAACCTATTCACAAAGCTGCTGAGACAAACTTTTACTAAGGAATAGAGAGAAGTCTTAAAGCAGCACTGTGTAACTTTTTCTGTGTTGAAAATTTGCTAAATGTATATAATGAGCGAGTACATCATGAATTCATCTTCTAAACCGCGCTTTTGTCTTATTCCGAATCACTACGGTACACTTATAATAAGTACTTATATTTGGACTATTGTAGGGTGACCATATGTACCATTTTCCCCGGACGCGTCCTTGCCAGGATTTGTTTTGGCTTTGTTTTTTCCTGTTTTCATGCTTGCTGAAGGTAATGATCGAAAAGTAGTTTGACCAATAACATGCAGGCATTGTACATAATGGACCAATCATGGTGTGTGTGAGAAGGTGGGATCTACGGTCAAAGCGATGCAATTATGCGTACATAGGATGTGTGTTCGACTTAAAAGCAGCGCGGCTCAGATCGATCAGTGTTTGACATCAAAGTACCTCGAGAGCATTTTGAAAGCATAAGGAACCGTCTGTATGGTATTTTGATGTCATACACCGATCGGTCTGCACTCGCAAACAAAGCCAAAACCTAGATAGTTTAGGCAATATAGAAATCCTGACCAGGACGTGTCCGGGGAAAATGGCACGTATGGTCACCCTAGACCAGGGTTCCTCAAATCTTGCCCTGGAGGTCCAATGCGCTGCAGAGTTTAGCTCCAACCCTGATCAAACTCCGCTACCTGTGATTTTCTAATGATCCTGAAGACATTGATTAGAATGCTCAGGTGTGTTTGATTAGGGTTAGAGCTAAACTCTGCAGGAAAGTGGATCTCGTGGGCCAGATTTGAGGATCCCTGCCCTAGACTATTGTAGCCTGGTCGGGTCGTCACCGCTGCGGAGTAACACATACTTGCGTGAATCGCCATAGACATAAACTTAGAGAAGTAGCTCCGGTTGGAATGTTCTTCCGCGGGATGTGTGCAGTTCTGTTTATTAACCGCTAGAGCGCCAAAAGTTACATAGTGCTGCTTTAAGCTAAGAGTAAGGGCGGGGTTGACCTTGTTGCTATGGATATTTGAGCAAGTACATAACTAGGGTGACCATATGTGCCATTTTCCCAGGACGCGTCCTGGCCAGGATTTCTATATTGCCTAAAATATCTAGGTTTTGGCTTTGTTTGCGTGTGCAGACCGATCGGTGTATGACATCAAAATACCTCGAGAGCATTTTGAAAGCATAAGGAACCGTCTGTATGGTATTTTGATGTCAAAACCTAGATATTTTAGGCAATATAGAAATCCTGGCCAGGATGCGTCCTGGTAGAATGGCACATATGGTCACCCTATACATAACCAGCCAGTGTTCGAAACTATCGCCTTACTTTAGCCCGATTCACACCGGTCATCTTATAATAATGTTTTCTAATTTGAGTGGTACGGATAGGTTTTCTCGGGAAATTTGAGCATGGCACTGCGTCATTACGTCACGTCTGTAAACATAAAGAAGTTGTCCCGGCTACTGGACTATCGCATGTGAGGATCCTGCAGGTAGCAGATCGCTTGTAGCCTTTTCTCACAGCAGCTGGAATGATTAAATGTATCATTTTGATGGCGGATTGTAATCCAGAAAGGATTATGTGTTTATGAAACACATTTGAAGGAAATTAAATTATATTCCAGTTTTAAATGAGCTTCTGATTACAGATAGCCTGGGATTACACAAGATTTGTATTTTAAAGACCACCATTTAGAAGGGAGCATAATTAGCTTTTTGGGTTAAAAGAATTTCTTAATATGAAATTCAAGTGGTATGACAATTAGAGATTAGACTGTACAGAAATTGAAATCTACTCGCTTATACACACTAGTCACGCAATGCTGATAACATGAACAATTTGAGAATAAAGTATAACAATAATAATAATTTGCACGGTTTGATGTGATATGAGCTAATTTAGATTAAATCACCATTGGTAGCGTGATTTATTGTAATGCTTTTTTCCTCAGTTGGTCAGAACAAACGTGGCCGACTTGTTACTTACTTGTTCAGGTGACAATATACGGTGAAAATGCTTATTTGAGTCGTATATTCCAAGATGTAGGCTAGAATCTGGGAGTGCAAAGTACAATATCCACAACGGTGCGGTGACTGACTGCCACACACACACATACTCCTCAAAACATTAGATTCGGTACCGGTGCACAACCCACGCAAGGAAGATAATTCCGCACACACCTGCAATTGCAGGTTTTCAAACAGAGATGGCGACAATGAGGCAAAACTTACGGACTGCAGCTTTAAAGGGGTCATATGATGTTGCTAAAAACAACATTATTTTGTGTATTTGGTGTAATGAAATGTGTTTATGCGGTTTAAGGTTCAAAAAACACATTATTTTCCACATACTGTACATTATTGTTTCTCCTCTATGCCCCGCCTTTCTGAAACGCATTGATTTTTACAAAGCTCATCGGTCTGAAAAGCGAGGTGTGCTGTGATTGGCCAGCTATCCAGTGCATTATGATTGGCCGAATACCTCAAGCGTGTGACAGAAATGTTACATCCCTT